AGGCCACAGTCTGTTTTGTCTCTGCTTTGGCTGTTGTGTTGGTCCTCCTGACTGTGCTCCTGCTTAGGAGTCTTTTCATCCTGACCACCGTTCTCATCTCTTGCTGAAGTACTGGATACATCTTTCTGTGGGAGGGTCAGTTTCCGTCTTTTCAGAATTAAGGGCCTGCGAGGGCTGGTCCTCATTATTGATCTGTACAGTCACTCTCCATTGAAAGGGACAAGAACAAATCCTGCAAAACAAAAGATACATCATAAGAATGCAGAGTGCAGGAACAGCTAGGAAAGGTACACCAAAACACCACGGGCTTCCCACAGAGCACACATTCTCAGCAATTGCTACAAAGCTAGAAACAAGGAAGGAAGATAAAACATTAAGGCATTTAATAAGATTGATGAGGCTATTGGAAAATAGCACTGTACCTCCTTTATCCACACCTTGTGTAAGCAGGACAGGAGAGATATTTGCAGAGTAGATAATTTGCGTCACAAGTTGGGAGCCACAGAGTACATAATAATGAGCAAAGTATGTACGTGTGCTTTACAGAAAAGGAGACTAAGACTTAGCTGTAAAGTGACTTGACCAGCATCAGCAGCAAGCTGGAGGGGACAGAAGTTAAAACATAGAAATAGCAATCCCGATTCTTATATCTCATTGCTGTAACCAGCAGATCACGCGACCTGAGAGGAAAAGGGAATTTAATAGATGGTTTAAGCAGAGATTATTCTAAACACTACAAAGGCACACAATAAATGCAGCAGAAGTTATGTGCTTTAAAATAAATGTAAATGCTTTAGTCATTCCTTCTGCAGATTTGTCAAGAACCAGATAAACTCATCATTGGGCAGAATACAATTTAAATGTCAAACTTTTGGACACCAGACAATTTAGATTATAAAGCAGAAAGCAGAGGAGATAAAATTCAGAGACATTGTTTTCAGGGTAAGATGCAATGTGTCCCCTCTGAGAACACCACTTATAAATATCATGCCATTCAATAATTAGGTAGAGGCTGTCTCTTGCAGCAAACTATACCAGAACAAGAATACACAAGTTTTTTTATCATTAGGGATGGCAGGCAGAATAGAAACAAATAACAAAAAAAGGAGGCCTTTGGCATTAGTAGATTTGACTGGGCCAGCTAGTAAACAAGAAAATTCTCAGTAAGAATCACCAGCATAGATACAAACTGGAAAGAGTCCGGCAGATAAAAAACTGAGCTGATGCCCTGCGTACAGGGAGCAGACAGCCCTGCCATCAGGTGCTGCCCAGCAGCCAGACGACTCTCCTAGAAATGCTCAGCATTACACACGGGTTGCAGCACCCGGGCACACACACGGCCCTTTGTGATCTGCTCCGCTCCTCATAAAACAGCGGCAAAAGAAGTAATCTTTAGCCAGCCCCCAAAGCTTGCCTTTCCTACAGGAGCGAGCCGCTTCCTAAGGCCTCAAGCTGCCTCTCCCCGCCTCCTCAAAAAACAGCGGCAAAAGAAGTAATCTTTAGCCAGCCCCCAAAGCTTGCCTTTCCTACAGGAGCGAGCCGCTTCCTAAGGCCTCAAGCGCCCCCCGCCAGCACAGGTCCTGGAGGAGCCCCGTGTACGCGCGGCCCCGGGAGCGGTAACGGGGGAAGCGCTAAAGGGCTCCCAGCTCCTTCTTCACCCACTCCAACCTCGTCCCTACCGCGCTCGCCGGTAAGCCCGTCTGCCCCCCCAGGGCCTCTCCGCCCCAGCCCGAGCCTAGACGTTTCCCTCTCCCGGCCGCCCTGCGCTCTTAGCGCGGCTCTCGCGAGGTTGCCGGCCCATGCCCCTGGCCTCTGTCTCCAGCCCCTGCAGGGAGACACCGGGGAGCGGGAGGCTGTG